ACCAACTCTAGCTTCGTAAGGTAGATGGATTGGAAGATGTTCCATAGAATAAAAAAAACTCAGGGGAAATATTTTTTCTAACTTGTAGAGGATGATTGGTATGTTATCCTCGCTCCTCCGTAAAGCTCTTCTCTTAGTTTAGATGAACATAGGTCTTTGAATAAAATGCTAAGCTCAGTCATTAGTTTTCCATTATAAAAATTTATGTATTAATTAATTATCATATGAATGATTTTTATAATTAAATATTTGTAGTTTTTTAAATAATTTTTTATTTGGGTGATTTTTGAATAAACTAGATCCTTAAGCCAAGGATTATGTGGGCTACTCCTACTCTTGTTCAAATAGGCTTAGAAGCAAATCTGGATTGAGCCGAATTCCAGGAAATACAATTTTTTAAAATAGTAAATGATAAATAAGTAAATATCAAAATTTTGGAGTTAACATATAAATACATATAAATTTTGTGGTGCGTATGTAAATTTCTCTAAGAGGGTGTTTGGAATCTGAAGGCCTATTTTTTGTTTTATGTGTTGGTTGAAAAAAAAATATACAGGTAAGAATAAGGTGCCATTCTTTTGGTTTGGGCCTTCCCCTAGGGTGATCATCATGGATCCTGAGCTTGTAAAGGACGTTCTTTCTAGTAAATTTGATCACTTTGAGAAGCTAAGTTACACGCCAATTCTAAGGCAACTAACTCTGGGGGTCGCAATGTATGAAGGTGAGAAATGGGCCAAGCATAGGAGAATCATTAACCCAGCCTTCCATGTTGAGAAGTTGAAGGTACTTTTTTTTTTTTTTCTTGTGGTAGGAATTTGGCATAGGTCAAGGAATTGAAATTTAAGCCTTCTAGTTACATTATCATAGTTGTGTTCATACAGATGATGATGCCATTATTTTCTGCTTGTTGTGATGAGCTAATAAGTCGATGGGAAGAGTTGGCTGATAGTTCAAATGTGTTTGAAATAGATGTTTTGTTCGAATTCCAAAAATTTTCTGCAGATGTCATCTCCCGAACAACATTTGGTATTAGCTATAAAGAGGGTCGACGAATTTTTGAACTACAGAAAGAGCAAACTAAGCTTGTGTTCGAGGCTGCTCGGAATTTGTATATTCCTGGTTTTAGGTACATTTCTTTTTCTAGTTTTTGTGGGAAATAATTATCATATTGTTTATGTTGCTTAACCTTATGCTACAAGTTATCTTCCAGTCTAGAATTTTTTATTTCATACCTACAGTATGATACACAAAGTCATGTAAACACTTGATTCACATATCGCAAGAACCCTTGAATTTTATCAATTGTCAATTATTTTTAGCGAAAATAAAAAAAAATGAAGAAAATCAAGTTATGGTTAGAAATATGGAACAAAATCTTGTGCTTGTTAAAAGTTAGATTTTAAAAGATCAATTATACAGTTCAAATAATATCAAGTCCAAAGAACTGACCTCCCTCACGAAGTTTTGATGGCTTATTTTGATGATATGGCTTAAAGTTGAAAAATTAAAGCCATCAAATCAAATATATTGCTTATATAAGGGAAGAAACTCTTCTAAAAACCTTCAAATCAAATATATTGCTTATATAAGAAAAATCAAGTGTTTTATGGAATTAGAATTTTTAATGTAAATCTATAATGAGATGCACACTGTCTTGCAAATGCGCATAATTCATACATTACAACATCTTAATTTTAATTATCATTTATTATTTTTAATAAAAATGAAAAAAAAATTGATGAGAATCCATCCAGATGATAAATCAATAGTTTTCTATTAGAAGTAATCTTAAAATATCCAAAACAATGAAAGATTATACAATTAATTGAAAGTCACATGAAAAATTTTAGAGAGTATCATAGTTAAAGCAAATCAAATGCACTGAAATCAATAAAATTTTTTGGAGAAATTAAATTAAGTACAAGGATAGAAGTCAGCTTCGAACTTGTATGAGGAGATAATCTGTTTAAAAAAATCCTTATGTTTCCCACTTTATGAAGGAGTAGATAAAAGTAATAATACATTCAGCTAGAAAAAAATTCTAAAATAACAAGATACTCTTGTGTTAGTGTGAGATTGATATACTTTATATGTGATTTTATGTTTTTTTTTTTTTCTTAGAAATAAACCATGAATGTTATAATCCAAATAAGATGATAATTTTATTAATTTTTAAACTTCAAAGATCTATATAAATCCTCATCTAATGTATTTGAAAATTTTGGCTTAATTCACATTTAGTTCTTCTATAAGATATTTAATGAAATGAAAATAATAACAAAGTAATCTCTTGGTAAAATTTTTAAATTGATCTTGTAGTTGATTCTTATATATTGCTAAATGAAAATTAATGTTCTATTTTCTTCATCTAATGCATCCTTATATAATCCTTCGTGAAAGTTTACGTTGAATATTGGTGAATCATTTTTCTTCGCAATGAAGCAACATTGAACACATCTATTTCTCTTTTGATTCATGAACACTTGGCTGTCTTGTAAATCTTGAAGCTTTCCGTTTGAAAACTTTTTTGTATTCATGTTCCTTTCGTCGCTTATCAATTATTTGAGAGTAATTGATTGATTCAACTGAACTTATTAGAAGGAATAGTTATATAGAGTTAAATTTAATTTATTCTGGTGAAAATTTGTTATTTTTAGTTTCAGTTGATCTTGACATCTAGTTGGACAAATATAACCAGTAATTTTAAGTTGTAGGTTTATACCCACCCAAAGAAACAGGCGAAGAAATGAAATCTACAAGGAGGTTACTGCATTACTGAGAAGTATGATTGAACAGAGAGAGCATGCAATAAAAAATGGTGAAGCTAAGACTAATGACTTGTTGGGCTTGTTGATGGAATCAAATAAAAGACATGCTCAAGAAGGAGATCACATGCAAGATGCTAGTTTGACTACAGAAGATGTGATTGAGGAGTGCAAGTTATTTTACTTTGCTGGCCAGGAGACAACATCAGTTCTTCTTACATGGACCATGATCGTGCTCAGCATGCATCCAAACTGGCAGGATCAGGCAAGAAATGAGGTTTTGCAGGTGTTTGGCCAAAGCAAACCAACCTTTGAGGGCTTAAGCCGGCTGAAGATTGTAAGCACCTATTTACCTTTTGCTTTTCATCTACACGAAATTTCTTATTTAATTAATCATTAGAAGTAAGAAAAATCCTTTATTTTTGTGGTTGTAGCAGGAAAGAAATAGCCCTTGATTCATTAACTATTCTTTCAAAGTTGGCTCTTATTTCTATGGAACACATGATTGTTGGAAAAAATTGAATAAGGATATATTGATACACGATTGTGTTAGGATATAGAGACATTTGTTCAAAATAAGAAGATATTTAGTAGAACTATTGAATGATTGAAATGCAAGAAAATACATGGGTTCATTTGTTTCTACGGCAATTTGTATGTTGTGTAGATATGTGTGGAATCCGATTGTATTGACCAATCCGGTTATTCTGTTATCTCGAACTTCAAAGCTTGTTGTGTATATATTGATATATTGATACACAAATGTGTTAGGATATAGAGACATTTGTTCAAAATAAGAAGATATTTAGTATAACTATTGAATAATTAAATTGAAATGCAAGAAAATAGATGGGATTTCCTTCAAGCACATACATGGGATTGTTGTGATTTCTTTTCCTATTGTGATACATATTTATAGATTTTTTTTTTTAATAATGAATTTCCTTCAAGCACATATAATAATTCTCTTAACTTTCAATGCTACGCTCCATATTATTAGATTTGATATTCTTCCTGCAGGTGACTATGATTTTTTATGAGGTTCTAAGATTATATCCACCGGGAGTTGCACTCTTTCGACATACTTGCAAAGAAATAAAGCTGGGAGAGTTTACTTTCCCACCTGGAGTGCAACTTTTGTTGCCTATCATCCTTTTCCATCATAGTCGGGAGTTTTGGGGTGAAGATGCTGAAGAATTCAACCCTGAGAGATTTTCTGAAGGAGTTTCAAAGGCAACCAAGAACCGACTCATCTTCTTTCCATTTGGTTGGGGTCCTCGAATTTGCATCGGCCAGAGCTTTGCACTTACAGAAGCTAAAATGGCTTTGGCAAGAATTCTGCAGCGCTTTTCAGTTGAGTTGTCCCCATCCTATGCCCATGCTCCCTATAACATTTTAATCCTTCAGCCTCAATATGGTGCTCAAGTCATTTTACACAAACTTCATCCATTGTAATTAGAATGGTGCTCAAGGCCTTCCACTAACTCTCAGTACTTATTATAAAATTTGATGTCATTATCAAATTACGACAGTTTATGTACTTTTCTTTTCATGTTGCTTCCTCAGCATATATATGTTATCATCTTCTGCATTCCCTTATAATACTATAGAAAAATATATTTACAACTCTCAAGTCTTTATCTGAATTTATTATACTTATAATGCAGAATTAGAACCACAAGGAAAAATTAAAGAATTTGGACCAAGTAAATGCAAGGCATTGGTTCCAAACCTTCTTCATGTTTAAGTAATTATTTTATAGTCTACCATATAAACTGAACCTTTCTAGGAAGAGCTTCAATGTAGTCTAGAGTTCTCCCTACTCTGTACTAACATCAAGATTAGTTATATTGCAAGTATGCTATAATTGTTATAATTAACTAAGCCCCTCAAGCTATTAAATGGGAGAAAATCCATTAAAGGGCTGTGTGATTTGAAGTAAAATAAGAGTAAAGTATTTCAAATATAGTAATTTTGAGAATATTTGTATTTGATTTGAAGTAAAATAATTGCAGTATAAAAATTTTTATGCATTTAAAGTTTTATCATCTAATTCAATTTTGATGTGATGCGGTGAATGATAAGTAGAATACACTTTATGATTAGTTATCTATTTTATATCCTTTTTTAAAATCTTCTTGAACTTTCTTTTGCATTTATATATAAATTGTAGGAAAAAGATATGAGATAATAATGTATTTTTGGAATCCTAACAGTTTTTACTATTTTGATATCTTAGAGCTATATTACGTGATGCTTGATGTCTATGCCTTGAAAGCGACCAGCTTATGTGATCCCAGGTATCTGATTTTTGTGATTCAGAATTTATCTATGGTACTTCTCTTTGTTATTAGCTGGTTTAGCTTTAATAATTCTAGGGAGGTATAGTAGGAACTAACTATAGCTCCAAGATGTTATATCTTATAGAATTATCTGTAGGTGTTATATGGCAAACATGGAATGTGCAACTCTGCGATGGTTTGTTGGGGCTCTTTAACTGTTCAATTGTTGTCACTTGCACCATTCTTCAGTACTCACCACTTTACATGGAAACTATTTTTCCGAGCCTCATAAATAGATTCCATCCCATTAATGCATGCGATGAAACTTTTAGGTAGCAGATTAGCTAGTTGATAAGGGCATTACCTTTTTATCTTTATAATTATCTTTTTGATAAGGGCATTACCTTTTTACATTAGTCATTATATATATATATATATATATATATATATATATATATATATATATATATGATTTACTACGACATCCTAAAACTAGGAAGATAAAAAGAAACCCATGAGAATTCACTGATCTCTAATAGAGTCATCATTTTGAGGCCATGTTTAGCTAACTAACATCCAAAAAGATTTTATTGACAACACATGCTTCATACTTGAACACAAGCATACATTATATAGATTTTGTATTATGATAATAGTTTTAATGTAGTTTATAACATGATTAAACTCAATTATATAAGAACATAGTTCATGATTGGTGTGGCAAGAATTATTTCTCAGCTATTGGAATAATGTATGTTTAATGTACACGGAATTTGTGCAACTAATAACATTACAAAGCTAATTATCTCATCATGTCAAAATGTCCGTGTGAAATACTACGAATAAATAAAAACATTCCACAATATATTATTAATAATTAAAGCAAATCACACGTAGCATATAGAGATGATACCCAATTAAATTTAAGATTGTATATAGAGATGATACGCTTAAACTATACATTTCACATACATTCATTAATGCTTGTTAAATATCCCCAAAACTTCTTTTTGTACATAAACAAAACCATTCATTATCTCTCTGAATGTTTTTCCTGTTGTCAATATGTGGATATGGAGATGATTATATATATACTTTTAAGTTCATATACTACTTATTTACTTCATTTATTGTGAGTATATACTCGATCTACCTCTTGTATGTTAAGTTAAAATAATTGATTAGAAAAGAAAGCAAGCGCTTGAAGTCATATGTACTATGCACTTGGTTTTGCAATAAGAGGTAATATTGATGCTATAAAATGAATTATATGATAAAATTATAAGAAAAATAAATAAATAAATTTAATATAATCAGCCCTATAGTTAGGAACTTTAAGCAAGTTTGGAGCTTATGGTGATGTGGGCTCTGAAAATTTGCCCCCTTGGGTCACCGCGACTCCTTTCTTTTTTGTTTGTTGACGAGGAGCGTTTTAATGAGTTTATGTTCTCGGGTGAATATTCAAAAAATAGATTAAGTTTTTAGATAAGTCATTACCTAGAGATTTCACTTTCATTTTATGAGGACTTTATGATTTGAGTTAAGGTTTCCTATAGGCGTAAGGCCTTATAGTTAATTATCCCTCCCAATAATGAGAGAAAACTTTCGATTAAAGCTAGTCATTGAACATATACGTAGCATCCAATGTATAGTAGCAGCAGAATTTGATATTGAAAATTAAAATTTTATTAGTGTACATGAAGCATATGGTGGGGGCAATGATGATAAAACTGATCAAGATCCCATGGTTATGTTATCCCAAGTCATTATGGTCCATGGTTTACTTAGTCAAAGGATATAGTCATCCCAACCAGATTGAAGGATCCTTGTCAGTAGCCATGGGTTGCGTCGTCCGAGAGTATATTGTATACTTATGATGAATGTATGCCTAAGGGGATATATTTGAGTCCACCTTAACTGACAAAGGGCTTTGTACCATATAAATTATATTCTATTGATTCATTACTCAAGATTTTAGAGTCGTTGGGGAACATACGGGTTTTTCTCGTGATCATAATTTAGTGGTGCCATTTGATAGTAAAATCACTCAGTCAGAGGGCCCCAGTCATAACCATTTATCTGTGGTGCTATTTGGTAGTAAAACAACTGTCGTATCAAGAAAAGGGCGCACAAGGCTTATCTGGCTTGCCGCAAGCACTACACCGAGCTTCTTTCCACCGTGCTAGGAAGAGCGCGGCACATAGATCTATTTGTTATGCCTCAAGCATAAAAAATGTGATTTGAGATTTTGAGTTTAGCGAGCATTATACATTGACGAGTGAGGCGACGACGATAGTGTTTGAGGGATCAAGTCACAATATTTTTCTTCCTCTCTCTCTCTCTCTCTTGTTTTGTTTGAATTTCTCTCTTGGAGTTAAATTCATGAGTTGAAAAGCTGGTACTGGACTGTTTTGAGTTAGATTTGTGACTTAGAGGGTTAGTAGTGTCTGTTTTGGGTTGGGTTTGTGAGCTAAAGGGTTGATAGTGGCTGTTAAGCTAAGCACTGCAGAGTATACTAACTAGTCTTAATTGAAATCTTGTAAACAAAAATGAACAATTAATCATAGGGGCTTGTACTTATGAGGACTCTCATATGCTATTATAATTTTTTTCTAAAATCTCGTTGAAATATATCAGTGATATCTTATATAATATCTAATGTAAATTTTCAAAATTTAAGCGAAAGCACTACGAAATAATTAAAAGAGCAAAATGAAAACTTAAACTAGATTCCCTTATAATTATGAAGTTGATAAAAGAAGTTTAATACATACTAATGACTTCATTTGGGAAGAAATTATTATAAAATATTTTAAGAAAACTTAAAATTTTAATTAAAGTAGCATTCATAAATTTTTAAATAAAAATAAGTTCATTTGATTATTAATCATATTTGTCAACATTTGCTCAATGGGGAACTCCAATTACACGACAATGCAATTGCATTTAGAATTTACATTGTATAGCAAAATACCCAAAAAAAAACTGGCTTCAAGCCAAGCTGGCCTAGTTCAAGCTCAACTAATTTATTCTACTTTATCCTAGTTCAAAAAGAACTCATCAATTTACTGGCAATAAGATTGACAATAAATAATCTAAAAATATTTCTCCATCAATTTTTATTTAAACAGATCACAATGTAAACGATATGATCAAATCAACTCAATAAAAATATAGAATTAAAATTGATGTACTTACGTATAATTAGGACAATTAATATTATTTAGATAATTTTTTTATTATTTTCTAAAATAAATTTTTATTAAATTTTTTTTTTGAACTATAAACTTTTATAATAAAATGCTGCCTTAAGAAAAATAAACAAGCCAAGATTGATCCAATCAAAATTTTACTTTATTTGGGATAGCTTTCTTACTTATTTTCGAAACAATTTTTTTGTACAAAAATTTTTGTGTTATAAAATTTTGTTCTAAAAAATTGCTTCATAAAACTGTAAGAAAGCTATCCCAGAATTCGTTTGAAACAGCCTTTGGAGTTTGGCCACTGCTTTTTCTTTCGCAAAAAAATTTTTTGCTAAAAAATTACTATAAAAAATTTCTAATTTTTTGTTCTAAAAAACAGCTTAGATAGCAATAAGAAAGCTGTCTAAGATTTCGTTTGGGATGGATTTCTTAATGCTTATTCAAACAGTTTTTTAGTAAATTATTTTTTTAAATTGGATATTTTTATATTATAAAATACTTTAAAAAGTAATAAAAAAATAATCCCAAATTAATTCTTAATTTAACTCCTACTTAAGGCTTTTAACTTTAACTTTAAATGACTGATCATTGGATTTTTGCTCATGATTTTTGAATAAAAAATTATCATATGAACTTTTGTTATAGGTAATGTACATTTTTCATTTATAAATAAAGAAAGCAATTTCTTTATAGATGCATATTAGTATGTATCAAATCGAAATATTGACATAGAGAAATTTGTTATGAAATTTTGAGTGAATTATATATATATATATCCAAATTTCGACTCAAACATTTTTGATTGAGAGCTTGACGGATCAAGATAAATGCATGTAAAAGATTGAGTGTTGGCAGTTCAATATCAATTCTAGATCTAGAAATCTTTTTTTCCAATGATGCTGAGAGGCTATTTAGTTTGAAGTAAAATAGAGATGAAGTATTCCATATACAAGGATTTTGAAAAATATATTGATGTTTGGTTTGAAGTAAAAGAAAGGAAGAAAAAATTTTTAAAGAACTTAGAAATCATCTTCTATTTCAATTTTGTTATTTAAAAAACGTTACATTTGACTAATTTTTCAAAACCTTGTAAATTTTCTATCATTATCGTCAACGCCGCTAATCATCACACGCAGTCTTTGGCCATTATAGTTTGCCAGAGGCTACCACAGCCTGCCATTAGCTACCATAGCAGCTTCCCAACATTGTAGTCACCTACCACAATCCTTCATCGCCTAACACATGCTAATAGCCCCCGATAGTTTTCACTGTTGCTACTATCGTTCTCCACCCACCACTACCATATTAGCCATTGCTCGCTATCGTCACTTCCACCGCTTGCTATCGCTGTCAGTTGGCGGCTATCAACCACTCGCTACTATCATTATAGCTTTATATTACATTCTTTCTACTTCAAATGAAAATAAATTATCTACATTTATTTTACACCTATTTAAATGATTTAAAATATTTCAAGCATATTAAATTTCTTTTAAATTTACATTATACAGTATACATTCCATTTGTAAATCAAACGGGCCCCTAAGTAAAATAAATAAGAAAATTTGCTTGTTTGACCTGTATAAGATTACTGAAATGCACCATTACGAATTATTATTAGAGTATATTTAATTATTTATCGTTTGCTTAAAAAGTTTTTTTAGCCTTCGAAGGCTGCATTCGCCGTTATCTTACCGTGTAAATTTACTAAATTATGTATTTTTTTTCCCTATATCTTTTATTCATGAACTTGGACTTTTTATAATCAGTCGTTTTCTTGACTGTCGACAAGTATCACTACTCGACAGAATGAGAACCTGGAAGAGATAAAGAGATCCTCTGCCCGTCAGAGCTCAAAGCCAGAAAGCCTTCTTGAACACGTTTCCTCGGATCGGAAGCTGCGACATGGAGTTGGGGTATTGGTTGGCGTTCGCGGCGACAGCGGCGACGTTGGCGGCGGCGGGTTGGGTCGGATGGTCGGCGGCGGAGTGGTTATGGTTCCAGCCGCGGCGATTGGAACGCAAGCTGATGGCGCAGGGGATTCGAGGAAGTAGGTATCGCTTACCCTACGGTGATCTCAAGGAGATTGGGAATCTCGTTGGTGAGGCTCGCCGGAAACCTCTGCCGCTTTCGCACAACATAGTCGACCGTGTCGTTCCCCATTTAACCCGCGCTGTGGATCTCTATGGAGGTAAATCTCTTCTTCTTTCTGATTTTTGTTTCTATTTCTAGAGTTTTTTTATGGTTTCGTTTACTTTTGGTTTGGGGAACGAGGCCTGTTTTGTAGACCTTTGGAGCAACTGTAAGCTGAAGGCAACTTTTAGCAAGCTTAATCTTAACACAGATGAAACAGTGAGGGATTTTGATGGGTGATAGATAAAAGGAGTGAAGATAAGCGCAAAAAATCATTTGATTAATTTATGGAAAAAAAAAATTTGTTAGGATATCATGATCAAGTTTTTAGTGGAGATGAATTTTAAAATATTTGAAAATATTTTTTTTAGATAACTGCAATACATATTATTTATTTATTATATTTATCTCCAAACCGATAATTAGAATAGACTAAAAACTTTAAAAACCCATCCTAAATATTTTATAATTAGGATAATGTAATATAATTTTCTTAATCTATGATGATATCATTATTTGTAATTAGATATGAATTATATTGAATAAATATTATTTAAATATTAGCTTATTAAGAATACTTTAAATTTTTTAATTATATTCGAATTATCTTAATTAAAACTCTTATTAATCATGATTTTTAGTTACTGTTTTATTATTTTGAGTAATTATGCGATTAATTAATTATTTCTAACTAGTTATTAAACTATAATAATAATAATAAAAAAAAAATTATATTTATATTAATAAATTTTAATTAATCTTAAGAAATTAGTACTTGTTAATTATGATTAATTATATATTTATTAATTATTTAAAATTTATCATAGTTAATGCATATAAAATATTATTAAAGCTAATTAAAATCTTGATTAATAGTTAATAAATCAAAATGAGTTAATTTATCTTTATCATTAAAATTTTTACAATTCAAGTATTTTAAATTTTAATTATATATTAATAAATTTGTAATAATCTTTTTATAATTATTGAAGTTTATTTAATATTTAAAGTATCATAATTAATCCTCACAAATATTATCACCCTTAATTAAAATCTTGAATAATTTTTAATGATTTCTTAGTTTTTCATCATAAAAATTTATGTATTACTTAATTATCATATGATTGATTTTTATATTTAAATATGTGTAGTTTTTTAATAATATTTTATTTGGGTGATTTTTGAATAAACTAGATTCTTAAGCCAGGGATTATTTAGGCTTAATCTAACTCTTGTTCAAATAGGCTTAGAGGCAAACCTGGATTGAGGTGAATTCCAGGAAATACAATTTTTTAAAATAGTAAACGATAAATAAGTAAATATGGAGTTAACATATAAATACATAAAAAATCTGTGGTGCGTATGTAAATCTCTCTAAGGGGGTGTTTGGAATCTCAAGGCCTATTTTTTATTTTATGTGGTGGTTGAAATAAAATATACAGGTAAGAATAAGGCGACATTCTTTTGGTTTGGGCCTTGCCCTAGGGTGATCATCATGGATCCTGAGCTTGTAAAGGACATTCTTTCTAGTAAATTTGGTCACTTTGAGAAGCTAAGATCAACGCCAATTGGAAGACTACTAACTCTGGGGGTCGCAACTTATGAAGGTGAGAAATGGGCCAAGCATAGGAGAATCATTAACCCAGCCTTTCATATTGAGAAGTTGAAGGTACTATTTTTTTCTTGTGGTAGGAAGTTTTCATAGTTCAAGGAATTGAAATTTAGGCATTCTAGTTACATTATCATTGTTGTGTTCATACAGATGATGATGCCATTATTTTCTGCTTGTTGTGATGAGCTAATAAGTCGATGGGAGGAGTTGGTTGATAGTTCAGGTGTGTTTGAAATAGATGTTTGGTCCGAATTCCAAAATTTTTCTGCAGATGTCATCTCCCAAACAGCATTTGGTAGTAGCTATAAAGAGGGTCGACGAATTTTTGAACTACAGAAAGAGCAAACTGAACTTGTGGTCCAGGCTGCTCGGAATTTGTATATTCCTGGTTTTAGGTACATTTCTTTTGCTAGTTTTTTTGGAAATAATTATCATATTGTTTAAGTTGTTTAACCTTATGCTACAAGTTATCTTCGGGTCTAGAAAATTTTTTTTTTCATTCCTAGTATGATACAAAAAATCATGCGAACACATTATTCACATATCACAAACTCTTGATTTCTAGCAATTGTTAATTATTTTTAGCGAAAATAAAAAAGTATATATTAAGAAAATCAAGTGTTTCTAATAGAAGCTATGGTTAAAAATATGGAACCATAAAAGATCTACTAAATGAAAATCTTGTGCTTGTTAAAAGTTAGATTGTAAAAGATCAATTATATAGTTCATATAATATCCAAGTCCAGAGCACTGACCTCCCACACGGAGTTTTGATTGCTTATTTTGATGATATAGTGTAAAGTTGAAGAATTGAAGCTATCAAATCAAATATATTGCTTATATAAAGGGAAGAAACTCTCCTAAAAAACCTTCGAGTCCCACACTTAATCATGGCTAAATTCATGGAATTAGAAGGAACAACAAATCCAAATAAAATTTTATTTAAAATATAAAATGGAATGAGTTTTATTCAAGCCAAAGACCAACAATATATAATGAAAATAATCCCATTGGAATGATTCAATATTCATTGAGTAAAATAACCCCTTAAAATCAAACAAGTTGATTTTCAAATAATCCTTGATAATATAAATCAACATTAAAAAAATCACAACACTAGAAAGGTCATCAATCCCTCATCTTATTATAAATAAGTTATAATGGCCTCAAATTGTTTGCCAATAAAAAGCCAAAAATCTTGTTAGACCATATGTTATGATGCTCTTGCAACTCCTATATGGATCACAACAAAAGGCACAGGAGGAGAATCACAAGAGCCATCAAAGAAGATCACAAAGAATCATAACTGAAGAAGCTAGAGTTTGTAGGAGGGAGGAGGATTCTATATCAATTCTACCAAGCCTGGAGAAATTTAACTCCAACAAATTGTTCATATGATACACGCCAGGCAAATTTAACTTAATTGTTCTTCCAGTAGTGCAATTAATTTTTGTACTAAGAAGCTGTTTTAAAGTAGAAAGAAAGCCACCCCAAATGAGCCTAAATTAAGTATAAGGATAGAAGTCAGTTTCCAGCTTGTATGAGGAGATGATCTGTTTAAAAAAATATCTTTTATTTCCCACTTATCAAGGAGTAGATAGATGTAATAATACATTCAGTTAAAACATTTTCAAAAATAACATGTGAGATTGATAAACTTTATGTGATTTTATGTTTTTTTTTCTTGGAAATAAATCATGAATGTTATAATCCAAATTGGATGATAATTTTATTAAATTTTTAAATTCAAAGATCTATATAATGTATTTGAAAATTTTGAATTAATTCACATTTATTTCTTCTATAAGAAGGAATAGTTATATAGAGTTAAATTTTCTCAAAAAATAAAATAAAATAAAGTTATATAGAGTTAAATTTAATTTATTTTGGTGAAAATTTGTTCTTTTTAGTTTTTGTTGATCTTAACATCTAGTTGGACGAATATAACCAGCATTTTTGAGTTGTAGATTTATACCCACCCAAAAGAACAGGCGAAGAAATGAAATCTACAAGGAGGTTGCTGCATTACTGAAAAGTATGATTGAACAGAGAGAGCATGCAATAAAAAATGGTGAAGCTAAGGCTGATGACTTGTTGGGCTTGTTGATGGAATCAAACAAAAGACATGCTCAAGAAGGAGATCACCTGCAAGATGCTAGTTTGACTACAGAAGATGTGATTGAGGAGTGCAAGCTATTTTACTTTGCTGGCCAAGAGACGACATCAGTTCTTCTTACATGGACCATGATCGTGCTCAGCATGCATCCAAACTGGCAGGATCTAGCAAGAAACGAGGTTTTGCAGGTGTTTGGCCAAAGCAAACCGACTTTTGAGGGGTTAAGCCGGCTGAAGATTGTAAGCACCTATGTACCTTTTGCTTTTCATCTACACGAAATTTCTTATTTAATTAATCATTTGAAGCATAAAAAAAATCCTTTATTTTTGTGGTTGTAGGCCCTTGATTCATTAACTATTTTTTCAGAGTTGGCTCTTATTGTTGTCGAAAAAATTTGAATCAGAATATATTGATAAACAAATGTGTTAGGATATAGAAGCATATGTTCAAAATAAGAAGTTATTTAGTTTAACTATAGAATTATTAGATTGAAATGAAAGAAAATACATGGGATCATTTTTTTCTATGACAATTTGCATGTTGTGTAGATTTTTAAGTGTGGAATCTGATTATTTAGATTATTATTTGGTTTGATATTCTTCCTGCAGGTGACTATGATTTTTTATGAGGTTCTAAGATTATATCCACCGGGAGTTATACTCCTTCGACATACTTACAAACAAATGAAGCTGGGAGAGTTTACTTTCCCACCTGGAGTGCAACTTCTGTTGCCTATCATCCTTCTCCATCATAGTCGAGAGTTTTGGGGTGAAGATGCTGAAGAATTCAACCCTGAGAGATTTTCTGAAGGAATCTCAAAGGCAACCAAGAACCAACTCATCTTTTTCCCATTTGGTTGGGGTCCTCGAATCTGCATCGGCCAGAGCTTTGCACTGACAGAAGCTAAAATGGCCTTGGCAAGAATTCTGCAACGCTTTTCAGTTGAGTTGTCCCCATCCTATACCCATGCTCCCTATACCATTTTAACCCTTCAGCCTCAACATGGTGCTCAAGTCATTTTACACAAGCTTCATCCACTGTAATTAGCATGGTGCTCAAGGCCTTCCATAAACTCTCAGTACTTATTGTAAAATTTTATGTCATTATTGCATTATGACTTTTTATCTTCTGTTCTCTTCATGCTGCTTCCTCAGCATATGCTATCATCTTCTGAATTCCCTTATAAAACAATAGAAAAATATATTTACAATTCTCAAGTCTCTATCTGGATTCAATATACTTATAATGCAGAATTAGAACCAAGTAAAAATTAAAGAATTGGGACCAAGTCAACTATAAGGCATTGGTTTCAAACCTTCTTCATGTTTATGTAATTATTTTATATTCTACCATATAAATTGAAGCTTACTAGGAAGAGCTTTAAGCTCTCCCTATTCTGTACTAACATCAAGATTAGTTATATTGCAAGTATGCTATAATTGTAATAATTAACTAAGTCGATTAAGCTTCTTTTTTTTTTCCGCAAATCGGAGAAAAGTCATTAAAGGGTTGTGTGGTTTGAAATAAAATAAGATTACATATTTCAAATACAAGAATTTTGAGAATATTTATGTTTGGTTTGAAGAAAAATAAATGTAGTATAAAATTTTGATGCATTTGGAATTTTACTATCTAATTTAATTTTGATGTGATGTAGTGCATCATAAGAATATACTTTAGGATTAGTTATCTATTTTAAACCCTTTTCTAGAATCTTCTAGAACTTTCTTCTGCATTTCTATATAAACTGTAGGAGGAAGATATAAGATAATAAAATATTTTTTTTGAACTCCAACAGTTTTATTGTTTTGACCTATTAGAGTTGTTTGTTTTTTTTTTTTTTTTGCTCCATTTCTTTATTTATCTCTCCACATTAATTGGTATAAGAGCAATGAGCTTTTGGTTGACCATAGATGAAGGAAGATAGCACTTGACGTCGATCGTGGTTTGGATGCTTTTGGGGAGACTAAAGATAAAGATAGATTGTCGATGATGCTTGAAGTCTCCACCAGCCGTCAACTAAACCGGTGAATCAACCTCCACTAGTTGGCAACCATACGAGTGAATCTAGCTCAACCAGCCCATATCGGCAAATCGACCTCCTTCGCTCAAGCATGCGGCCAGCCCGACCTTCGCTCCCGCGTCCATCCTAGTTCGCCTGTGTCCCAAAACCTGCCTCCTGCGCTTTACGTGACCGACCCGCGACCTAGCCTGCGCTCCACTCAACCGGACTGAGACTGCCCGAGCCCCTATCCATGCCATTGATAGACACCTCTCACGATCCGACACAGCTCCCGCCTTCCAAACCAACACAAGCTAGCTCTGACCCGTGGCGACATCCCCCCTTTGCTCCCACGTTGAGCAAGCTCGCCTCACCTCGCTCTCGAGCACGACCCAGACATAGTACCTAATCCCATGCTTCGCACTCGATCTTATGGCCTACTCCCCGCCTCCATTGCACACTTGGAACTCACGCAGTCTTCTCCTGGCTCGAATGCACGCGAGTAGTGCGATTCAACTTGTTCACTTCTCGCATGTTTGCATGAAGCCCATTCTTTCTCCCTCTGGTGATGACTAGGCTTGTGCCTTCACCCTGCTCCCACATGCGATTTCATCAAATACACTGTGAGAATGATACAGTGCATCATAAGTAGAATACTCCTTAGCCTTAGTATATCTAGGTTGTACCCTTTTCTATAATCTTCTAAAACTTTCTTTTGCATTTATATATACAAACTGTAAGAGGAAGATATGAGATAATGATATATTTTTGGAATTCCAACAATTTTAACTTCATTGATTTTTTTAAGCAGTTTAGTTGTGTTTTTGCTCAATTTCTTCATTGATCTCCCCACATCATGATGTATTTAAAATTCTTTATATTTGAGCAAGTTTCAAATACATCATAAATTCATCGTCATTGCCCTAGACCATCACTATTGCTACCGGCCGCCACCGCAACCGCCCAACTTCAGCTGTCACCATTAGGGTGAAATATTGTTTTGTAAAGGAACCGGAAAAAAACAGTAATGCATGGGGAATTATTTGTATAGTTAGCAATGTTATGGCTTATAAGATTACTATAATAAAATAATTTCATGATATAGTGTAATTGATCTTACTATTTAATATGATGAAATCATTATGTGGTGATCTAATATAAGTATTAGGGCTTTTAACTCTCACTCATAGTTACTGTTTAATAGCATATATAAAAAAATTTATTTGATATGACAAATATTGTACTTTCTTATATTTTTAATTAAAGAAATAAACATAAAAATTTATTTTGAGTGAAATTATTCATAATGAAAGATAATCTCTTATATTTATAAGCTGTTTGTTTCACTCATGAATCATTCCAACTAAAATCTAAATATTACTAAAAATTTAGATTTAGAGTAATCATAATTAATACCAGTGTTAATAGTTTTTATTTAATAATATATAAATTATTATAATTATTTTTAAAATTAAGAATAATTATCTTTTGAAAAAGTTCAATGAATTTTATGCAAATAACTCTTCAATGAATTTTTAACGCTTTTTTTTTATGATTGGGAAAAAATGTCCGGTTAATTGACTTAATTCAATTACAATCGTCGGTAAGGAAACCAACGGCTAGAAATTTGCGCAAGAGGTCGTCATGTTGCGTCGCTGCCAACTTCCCATCCCACGCTCGATTATTCATACCGCCACAGCCCGACACCCAAAAGCCGAACGCCGAAACCTCTCGCATCCCACCTCGAGCAACGTAAAGAGGAAGAAGAAGCCTTCCTCGCGGTCGTTAGATGCGGATGTTGTGAGATGGAACAAAACTATCACGTACCACATGCGCCATGGCCGCTTCGACGCCGCCCGCCAACTGTTCGACCAAATGCCCCGCCGCACTATCGTCTCCTGGAATACTATGCTCTCCGGCTACCTCTCCAATGACCAATACTCATCCGCCCTCTGGCTTTTTGACGCCATGCCTCACCGCGACGAGGTCTCCTGGAACACCATGATCAATGGCCACGTTCGGTATGACAAGCTAGGTGCCGCCCGCAGAATGTTCGAGCAAATGCCGATGAGAGATATCGTCTCCTGGAACACCATGATCTCCGCCTATGCTCAGAGTGGTCAAGTCGAGCAGGCACAAGAGATATTTGACCGAGCCCCTGTGAAGGATTCCGTCTCATGGAACGGGATTCTTGCTGCCTATTTACAAAATGGTCGTTTTGAGGCTGCTCAGGTGCTCTTTGAATCGAACCCGTATTGGGATACGGTGTCCTGGAATGCCATGATTGCTGGTTATTTGCGGAGGAATAGGTTGGTGGATGCTCAGCAGCTTTTCGATAGGTTGTTAGAGAAGGATATCGTTTCGTGGAACACAATGATATCTGGTTACGCGCAGAAGGGATACATGATGGAAGCAAGGCGTCTCTTTGGTGAATCTCCCTATAAAGATGTGTTCACTTGGACGGCTATGGTTTCAGGGTATGCTCAGAATGGGATGTTAGATGAGGCTAGAGTAATGTTTGATGAAATGCCTGAAAGAAATATTGTAACTTGGAATGCAATTGTTGCGGCTTATGTGCAGAACAAAAGGATGGATGAGGCAGAGGAGCTTTTCAATGTAATGCCATGCAAGAATATCAGTTCCTGGAACACAATGGTTACTGGTTACGCGCAAGTTGGGATGATTGAAAAAGCACGTAGCATTTTTGATAAGATAAATGATAGAGATCCTATATCTTGGTCTGCGATGATTGCTGGATATGCTCAGAGTGGTCACAGTGAAGAAGCACTGCAACTCTTTATAGAGATGGGGAGGAGTGGGGAGAGAATGAATCGATCATCATTTACTTGTGCCTTCAGTACCTGTGCAGACATTGCTGTGTTGGAATGTGGAATGCAAGTGCATGGGAGGCTGGTCAAAGCAGGCTATGGATTGGGTTGTTTTGTTGGGAACGCACTACTGTCAATGTACTTTAAATGTGGGAACATAGATGAAGCATATAAAGCATACGAGGAGATTTCTCAGAAGGATGTCGTCACTTGGAACACCATGATTGTTGGTTATGCTCGGCATGGGTTTGGGGATAAAGCATTGGAATCATTTGATTTGATGAGAACAACAGAGATGAAGCCGGATAACGTTACTTTGGTAAGCTTTTTCATTGCTTATGTAAGCTTCGCATATTGCTGTTCTAGCTTTATTTTTGTGCATTTTTTAGGTTGGAGTCCTATCTGCATGCAGCCATGCTGGGCTGATAAATAAAGGCATTGATTTCTTCTATTCAATGCATCAAGATTTTGGTATAAAACCAAAAGCAGAGCATTACACCTGCATGATTGACCTTCTGGGACGAGCAGGACGCCTAGCAGAAGCTCAGGCTCTGATAAAAGATCTACCATTTGAACCGGACGCAACAATGTGGGGTGCTCTGCTTGGTGCGAGTAGGATCCATCGGCATACTGAGTTAGGAAGGAAAGCAGCTGAAAAGATTTTTGAAATGGAACCTAATAATGCTGGAATGTACGTCCTTCTATCAAACCTTTATGCGTCATCTGGTAGCTGGGCTGAGGCAAGCAAACTTAGAGCGATGATGCAAGATAGAGGTGTAAGAAAGGTTCCTGGCTTCAGTTGGATCGAAGTGGATAACAGAGTTCATACTTTCTCAGTTGGGGACAATTTACATCCAGAGAAGGCGAAGATTTATGCTTTCTTAGAGGAACTAGATATGAAAATGAAGAAGGCTGGTTACGTTTCGGCAACCAATTTGGTTCTGCATGATGTAGAAGAGGAAGAAAAGGAGCAAATGTTGAAGTTTCACAGCGAAAAGCTTGCTGTTGCTTATGGCATATTGCGTCTGACCCCTGGAAGGCCAGTACGGGTGATTAAAAACCTTAGGATTTGCGAAGATTGCCACGATGCAATCAAATACATATCATTAATTGAGAACAGGTTGATAATTCTGCGTGATTCTAATCGTTTTCACCATTTTAGTTGCGGCTCATGTTCATGCAGAGATTACTGGTAAATGTCTATAATGCACAGCTTATAAAGATTCACTGTTACGTACAGCTTCTTGAGGAGGCACTTCAATGAAGAATATAATCTTACCGAGTGCAAATGAACGCACTTTCTTAGTGATCTTCTCAAGATTACAGCTTTTTCATCGAAATATATAACTGCATAAGCCATCCACGGCTTGCCTGATCAGCCCCAGCTGGTCTGCCTTCCCAAATCAAATGGCCAGCCACGAAAATTGCTACACTAGTCAACTTGCAGGTAAACCTCTAGGTCTCCGCACCCTCTTACCTTGCTCTTTATTCTGTCATCCAGACCTCAGTTGACTCAGATATGTTATCATTCACTAGAAAGGAAGGCGCTTTGCCCTTTGCCTTTTACTGAATAATTTTCCATCTATAGTAAACATATTCTAATTATTTGTACGAAATTGCGTTGGTAATGGATGTGCTTATCAACTTATGTATCAATTTTATTAAAATTATAGAGTGATTATTTTGTATAATAAAATAGCACTTGAATTTACTATGGCTTAAAATAAAAAATGAACTCTTATCATTTTGATAAATAGCATCTATTTTGAGCATATCTTACACTTTTAATAGAAAATGCACTAGAAGTTTTTGATACGACTATTTTTGTTTTAATTTTGATGACATATCTCACACTTTTAATGATAATTTTTATAAGCATTAGCAATTATTCTTCATTTAATATTTGTAAGTCTAGCATTATCAGGTCTCGAGATATCAAGATATCAGATAGTCGACAACCTGCATAAAATTTGACGAACAATCATAACATGAATCCTTTATCATATTAAATTTTGTTGTTTCATGTCAATATTTGGTTGTTTCATATTTGTGAGTGTCGTGTACATCTTAGATCTAAGGAAAACAAGATTTCTTTTATTTTCTCCCCCTCATGTGGTACAGTGAACTAACACACATATTTTTTAAATAGTTAAGAATATAATTAAATTCATGAATATTTAATTGATGAACATTAAACCCTTCAAAGTGTTTTTGCATATATGGAGAGAATTTTGGTTATTATGAATTTTAAATTCATTCCTATTTTTTGAGATAAATGTAATTTAAATTTATCCTGCACACATGGCAAAATAAATTAATTTTTGATATATCCTAATTAAAATTTTCTTAAAATATTCTTATTTTTTTTTCCATCAAGAATATTTAAACAAATTCAAGAACGCATCACATATGTAAGTTTCAAATTCGAAATATTTTAGTTAATAGTCAATCTCTCGTGTCTAGCCGTTGTCTGCTTAACCAATGAACGCATTAATGCACGTATTTTCTCCCATGTGTAAAACTTTACTATTGCTCTTGTATTAGCATAAATTTTAATAAATAAGTTTTTTAAATATAAGAGATTTTTTTTTTTCATTTAAACCTAACCAAAATAATAAAATTATAACTTAAAATCCTAATTTTAATATAATATTATGCTGCATCATAATTTACAAAATAAAAAAGATGGCTTCTCTCACCAATGGACATACTGTTCCTTCCATAAAGATATAAATTTTCATCGCGTGCTGCCCCAAACTAAAATTGTTATGAGAAAGCCTATGAAATGCAACACAAACGACCATTTTTCGTCCGTATAAATTATTTGAAGAGCAATATCTATGAGTTCACTGGAATTGAATAGTTTTACTAGAACTATGTTTTACAAGATCCTTCAAACTGTACCATCTCCTTATTGTCTGACCAACTATTTCCCATCCAATTCCTCTCATTTAAAATGTAGCAGTTCGTTCTCAAACCACCAATGAAGGGGAAAAAAAATGAAGAGCAGAAGTCACTAATGTCAGGTACCTAGTACATCCCCGACATGCCAAATTGGGAGGCGCCGACCTTCCGGTGGGCAACGGAGGCGGCCGCGACAGCAATACCAACATATGGGATGGGCTTTGCTTCAAGTATGTTAGCATCAATGCCGTTTGTTCTCTCGCTCTGTGCAGGTTTACTGGCGCCTAACAGAAAGAATGGAGATGCTCTCATGTCTATTGCGATGTCTGGAGCCACCTTACTGGGCATGCAAGGCTGAGGGTGGCGTGCATTATCCTCAACTTCGGCTCCCATCTTGCTTGCTGACTTACTGGCAGTTCTGTGAAAACAGTAAGCCGGAGGAAGACAAGGTTGCAGTGGAGGCACTGCATTCCTTATCAGACGTCGAGGATCGTATGGGTCCTTTATGCTTCCATTCTCCAACGGCATTACTGGTCCAACAACTTTTCCCGGCTTCGCTGCAAAGTCATTAAATTGAAATTATTTTAATCCTACATGCAAAATAACTAGAAGAATGGACTAAAATGGAGATAAAGAGATAAGGCTCGAGGGCAAAGAACAAACCAACTGGGATCCTTTGAGGTGCTGGTGAAACCCTTCCTATATGTCCAGGAATCCGCTCAGCTCCTCTAGGATTATTACCTTGCTCCGCCGGAGGTATTGTAGTTGAGTGGACAACTGATGATCTGAAAAAGAAAAAAACTAAAATGTTATGACAGATGAAGCAGGAAATCAACTTTGTTATCCATTAAAGTATTCATGGAAAAAGATTATAATGACAAATGTAGCAGAATAAGATCAAGATTTAACAATAAGTATGATGGTACAATCATATGCAGATAATTTGTTCAGTAAACTGAAGTATTTACAATCGATTATAGGTGTTTAAAAATAATTTAAAAATCATGCAAATTATGTTTAATTCAATGACATACAACCTTAAATAGTTGGTTTCTAATAAGTTAGATTGACGGCTTATGCAAGTAGAAGGGAAAGAGGAAAAGCTTGATGTGGAACCTCCCTCTCCCCCCATTTCAATCCAGAATACTCTATTTTCTCCACTAACATCCTCAACTAATTACGTCATGCAATTTCTCAATGAAGATGCAACGGGCATTAACAATAAAGTGCAAGATTCCTATAACACAAATAACGATAATTAACATTACCTGGGAAGAGAAACATGATTCCTCTCTAGTGGAATTACAGGAGCACTTTTACCACCATTTTCTTCAAGATGAGCAAATTGTCTTTTAAATTGATCAACAGCACTATAAGATTGAGATAAAAACATCAGCAATAGGTATACAACGACTCATTCACTTCACAGAATTAAATGGTATATTGATATAATCACAGAATTGACCTAGGATAAAGGAAGTTTGTTCTCTCTGTTCCATTGATGTAATCTTTGAGAAGTTGAGGGTGATATTCCAATATCTCACGAAAGATAAGTTCCCTAATATCTTCTTTAGTTACTCTTCGTCTCTCAAATTCAAACTCCATTTTTGTGATTGGTTGGCAGGAGGGCTCCCTCTCCACTTTAGACAAGCCTTTAAAGTAAGGATCAGCCAATGCCTATAATTACAAACCAATTAAATAGTAAACTAATCTACCAAAAAACATCATGCAAGATATCATATGAAATTTTGTATTCCCATAAGCTATAATAGTTTGCTTGAATTAATGAACAAACAGAGGAGTTTCAGCAAGAAAAGAGAAGTATATACCTCCTCAGCAGTTGGCCGGTCCTTTGGATCAAATGCTAGAAGTCTTTCCAAGAGTTTCAGTGCAGACGGATCCGCATTTGGAAACTTCTGTGAAAAAGGTATGGGCAGCTTTTTCCTCATGCTGCTTAGATACCGTCTTGCCTTCTCATTTCGTACCTGGACTAGCAAAATACTTTATAAACTTGGATATAGAGCACCTTTCAGAATATTTTATAAATAGTAAACCGACATACCCGTGAAATGGTATCCAAAGAAGGTGTGCCTAGAACATCAGTCATCAAATCCAATTGATGAGCAACATTTTTTCCAGGAAACAAAGGCTTCCCAGTCAGAACCTCAGCAAAAATGCAACCTATGCCCCAAATGTCGATGGCAGGTGTATACTGCAAAGGAAGAATTTATCATTCTTGTCATACACATATATTGGAAAGTAAAACAATATAAAATACCTGAGACAAAAAAATGTTAGCATGTAGAGCTTCAAAATAACTCCTGAACAAACATTTATTTTCTAGTAACTAGAAAGTACCAAGCAATCGTCAAGTATTAGTAGTGCTTTTAGACAAGGACAATAGAATGTCTCTAGAAATTCAAATGTTGAATTGCGAAGCTAGTCCAGGACATTTTGACATTGGAAATAATGCATACACGCGACATGTGAGGGAGAAAGGAAGGGGTACATTAGATTGCAAGAGTGAGGAGAGTGATTCCTTCATGAGCTTATTATAGATACGTTGAAAGGCGTACAAGAATTGAGGCTCTCATATCATATGTATTAATTCTATTTAATACTTAGCAATGCATCAACAAAAGCCTACTCACACATGAAAATGACAATTTACCAATAATGTTCATATAGCACAGGCCCAACAGTGGCATAAATAAATGAAACTTAAAGGTTGAAACGATCAAGTTATATTCTTTCTTGTTAGTATGGGTCACAAAGTTCATATTCCAATTACATAGCCAGAAAAAGATAAATAGGTGAATTTAATTGCTTACAACAGTTCATATACCATCAATATAGCGTTTTCTTATCAGCATTCTTGACTAAAAAAATTTATTTCAGGTTTTATGGACCAAAAGATTACCTTGGAAAAGAATGAGCCACATAGCTCAGGTGCCCTATACCACCTTGTCGCAACATAATCCTGCATGTCATATTTTAAAATGATAATAAAAACTCATACCTAAAAGTTTTAAAAATAATAATAAGAAAAAAAAAATCAAGCAACCAAAGTACTAGAAGCAAACCGTCCAGAAAATTGTTGTGGGGGTATCACTGAATGCAACTCTTGCTAATCCAAAGTCGCAAATTTTGAGCTTGCAGTTTGCATTTGCTAGTATGTTCTTGGGCTTTAAATCTCGATGATAAACATTAGCTGCATTAGAATTATCCAATTTAAACATACACGTAAAGAATGAAAAGTATTGCAATAGCCATGAGAGTCTCAATATATATTGATCATAACACAGGTTGTGCTGAAAAAGAAATTAAACATTAGGAAAATTAAATTGAATAAAAAGGAAATGTGAATCAATTTAACAGCCAAAGGAAAATAAGGATGCTCAGAAATTGTTAAAAAATTATATTGCAGTTTCTTGTTTAACACCATAGATATGAATAGAAGGTAACAATGCAGCAACAGTCAAATCATCAAAAACAATATATCTACTTCGAGGGCACAAGCACAAATAACCAAATTAAATACAATTTTAAACAAAAGAAAAACAAATTAACCGCATCAAAGGTGAAAGTTCTAACCTGTATGAATGTATTTCAGGGCACGCAGCAGCTGATAAAGAAAAAACTGGTAATGCTCTTTTGTCAAGTCATCATTAGCCTTTATGACTTGATGAAGATCAGACTCCATAAGCTCAAAGACAACATAGATATCTTTGAAATCCCTTCTTGAAGGGGGTAGCATGATGTGCTTTATCTCTACAATGTCGGGGTGTCTAAGAAGCCTAAGAAGCTTTATCTCACGGAGAATTCGGGCAGCATCTGAGATGTGCTCAAAAATATCATGTATCTTCTTGATCGCCACTTTTCCTCCGGTATGAGTGTCTATGGCTGAGCAAACAACTCCATAGCTTCCTTTCCCAACAACCTCCTGAATTTTGTATCTATTGGCATCCCCATACTCTGTGAAAAAGTCCATCTCTGGAGAATTCTACAAAACACAGAAACATTCGGCCTCTCAAATGGCTTAATCTCAATGCATTAATCATCGATGAGTATTAACCATGCGGTAAAAATTCATAATAAGCACAAATTTATTGGCTTGTTTAGGTTGGCGCATAGTAGTGATAAGCAAATTGAATAACACACCCAAAAAATAATAAAGAGCAAATGAGCATACTAAATAAATGGAGCAATTAAACCTTAGAGATTAAGCCTGACAGTCCAATTCATTGAAAGCAGATTTGTTCTCTATTGAGGGAATCGAATGACTATTAAACAACTAAGCTAGCCTTTAAAAAGATCAATCACAACTTTGTAGCAGATATTCGTTCAAGCAAAGCTGTTTAAATCCTTATCAATATTCCAGTTAGAGGAGCTTCGCAAGATCAGGCATCAAGATAGTTCGAAAAGCACACATGAAAGCAAGAAGAAAGATATCAAATTCAAAGAGAAGGTTGCAGGTCAAAAGCAATAGCAAATCTAAAAGGTGAAACAAGTCAACATTCAACTTATCATATCTCCCAAGGATCCAATCAACCCCAATTACATCACCAAACGACATCATTTCCGCCGTTAGCAGATCCCAAGCTTCAAGCCAGATAAAAGATCGTAATAAAAGGGTTAAAAGGTACGGATCAAGAAATACCACACCTTCTTCCGCTGATCCTGCTGCATCTTGACCGTCGTTGCAGATCTCAGATCCCTAAAGCCTCAAAAACACCTCCTTTGTGAGCTCCTAAAATTAAAAATGCCCTCCTTCAAAAGAACCGTCACAGATCTGAAGCAAAATACAGCAAAAAACGTACAGATCTACAAAGAAATCAACCACATTTGCCCCATCTTCCCCTGCTCCGGATAACAAGCCCGCTGTCCCTCCCTACGTTTCTCGACACCTCCGCTGAGAATAAAGAAGCTACCAGATCTCTCATGCAGCTCGCCGCCCTCTCAGCTATAATCCCTCCTTTCAAGAGAGCGTCGGTCGGCAAGATCATAGAGAGGAGTAGAAGCAGCCAAGTGTCCCCTTGGCCTCCTGCATCGCCACCTCCGTAGTTCACAAGCACCGGCGCACACACGGTCCACCTCCTCACCGGCCGGTTCTCCAATATATCGAGCAGGATCTGTCGACAAGATAACTGCACGCTACAATAGAAGTGCGCTAGTAGCAAGATCTATCAAACCCCAAACACATCTGGTAGCTTAGAATTGAGTTGGCTCTCAGTAGGCGCGGAATGGATGAAGAGGAGAGGAAGCGTAAAAGAGGAAAGAAAGAAGGCGGAGCTCATCCCGTGAATCTAGGGCCTTCCTTTTATACGGTAACGGTCTCCGACGCCCACCTCCACCTGTCGGCTTCGGTAGCTGGTACTGTATTGATTATCCGGTAATCTATAAGAACAATGCGTTATTCTAATAAGAATTATATATAAATTAAATTTGATTACTTTTATAATAATTCAATATTCAACCTTTATGAGGAAAAATGAGAATGACAAGTCATGCACGTAGGCATGATTTTAAAATCTAATTTATCTCATGAATTTGATTAATCAAATTATTAATTACAATTATAAATATTTATATAATTAATTTTAAATTATTTGAAATATAAATAATTTATTATTTAGTGTCTTTATATTTTTTGCTTATAAAGCATTTTTTTTTTCATAAATGTGTAGATCTTTAGATGAACTTGAAGCATTGAATTAGATTTTGAAATATTTGGTTTCATTACGTTGTGTCTAAATAAGTTCAAATCAGAGGTTGTACTAATCTCAACAATCAAGATTCAAATGATGTTGTCATTGATGAAGTAGTATCAGTAGATCACAATAACGTTATTAATAATGATCACCACAAGTTAGACCGACTTGGGAATAATAATAGGGCAAGCAAATGGGGTCCCTTAATCATAATTTGAAAAAAAAATATTTATAATTAATGGGATAGCATTGTGAATGATAACAATTAGTTAGGAGGCATCTGATTGTCTATGAAATGGGGGATGAGTCTTGGAGAAAGGATGAGTTTCCAGCTTGAGATATTATACCTAGGATGTTGGTTGGAAGATGAGATGATAATCAAAAGTTAAGGCAATTTGTCGACAATCAATCGATGGACATTATGGTGGAAGCTATTGGATGATGAAAGATGTAATTCTTTCGTAATGAAATAAATTCAAATGAAGGTAGAGGCATCTTTAGCTTCTCATTTAATTGTGGGAAAAATATGATTGTGAAATGCATGATTTTATATATGAAATAAAATAAAATGATTTTTTTTTCTTATAATTTGGGCAGCAGCATTTAATGAAGGTGGGCAAAATAGTTAAAATGCTTATTATTCGATTAAAAAAAAAAAAGATTTCATGATGGATAATTACCTACCCTAAACTCTTCTTAGTTTCACCCCTAAATGAAGGCTTCAAAAGAGAATTTCTTGGCATATTAGCTATAAGTCAAATAATATGTGGGTGTGTAAAGGGTCATAGAGGCTTCCTATAAGAATTCACCAACAAAATAGCTGATATTTTCAAGTCCAATGATGAACTTGGTGGATTCCTTCCTACAAGTGGTTGAAATTAAGGATGGAATAGCTTATGAGTTTGGGCTAAATTATGAGCGGATGATGGGGCTTGGAGACACGATTGATGGCTCAACATAGGTGGCCACTACAAAGTGTGTATGACCCATTAGCGACAGTTAGCTTATACATCACAAATGGAGCCCTCTTTCTTATCCATCATAGAGTCAAAGGATTAAATATTATGGTCATATAGCTCCTTCCCATCCTTCTCTAACCATAGTCTTCTCTTCCATTTTATAGAAAGATTGGCTATCAACATGGCTCCTAAATCTATCACACTTTTAAAAAATTAAAATTAATATTCATCTATACAAATTTTATAATAAAAGAGGATTAGGTAATCATATTTTTATATTTAAAAATTAAGATCCTATAAGCAATCATTAAATCTCTTTAAAAAATGTTGTGATTATAAGATAAATATTACTTTCAATCACATTGAATTATCAATATATATTTTTATTTAGATATATTTTTTCAAATAAAATGGTATTATAATTTGAGTTCCAATAGTGTGGGGAACAAGAATGTCATGATCCTCTCTCTTCTCGGCATAGAGTGAGCATCCACTTCAAATTTCAACGGTTCAAAGCCAAGTGATATATATATCAGATTATAATGCACTCAATTCAATTTTGTTGTCTCTCTCACTTCCAAAGAAAGTGACTTGCTAACCATCCCTTTTTCTTCAAGGGCATGAAATGCACATTTAAAGCAATTATTTTGATGGAGATGGTGGCTGTTAATTTGTCAAATTCATAGGACTATAGTGCAAAAATGTTGGTGGGTTGCATACGGAGCCATAAGTCATAATAAAATCAACTAATTATGATCGTTCATCTTAAAAATATGGTTGTAACTTGTAAGTTGCCATCTTCACTAGTTAAATAAGAGATTTAACCTTTTTTTTTTAGATGGCTCAGTTAGACTTTATTTTGTTAAGCTATGTTAATTATCTGAATTTATTTTAGTATATGAAAAAAAAGTTAATTGTTTTTATGCAAATTTGTCAGCTAGTACATAAATTTTTTTTATTTCTCCTAAAATTAGAAGAAAAGAATATAAATGCAATATAATAATCTTTTGAATATGTTTTATATAAATAAAAAATCTATTTAAAAATAAACATTAAAAAATGAAATTTGATAAAGTTTGAATTTCTAATACTTTTGTTGCGGACTGGAACATTCACGGTGGTAGAGAGAGCTTAATGTCTTAGCTTTGAACTAAGATCCATTACAGATAGAGATAAAGAGAGAGGTGTGACAGAGTCATAAGTGATATTAATATTTTATGTGAAAAATCCTGAAAATGGAAAAAATCATGGGCCTGGTCCAGTTGAAATGATTACACTATTGTTTATTATTGATTACAAATTAGGCCCTTCCATGAGGTGAAGACATTGGCTTGATGTTGTAAATATACATCATATATGCACATTACAAGGTGGTAGTTAGAAGAATCTAATGATATGAGAGTTGTTCTCAAGAGGTTGCAGGTCTGCTCATTCGGCTAGCAGGACTGTAGTCGGGCAACGGTAATCGGAGGAATAGTAGTCAATGAGTGAAAAACGGTAGGGTGGACCGTACTCAGTGGGTAACGGTGGTCCAAGTGATCATTGTCAGTAGGTGACGAAGGTCGCAGGGGTTGTATTACATGGGTGATGTTTGTCAGAGAGACAAATGTCGATGGGCGACGGTGATCTGAGGGACCGTAGTCAGCAGGTGACGGAAGGTCAAATGGACTGTATTAGATGGGCGATGTTGGTCAGATGGACCATTGTCGATGGGCGACGATGGTCAAAGGGACTATAGTCAGAGGGCGATTCTAGTTTGAGTGATCATAGTCGACGAGCGACGGTGGTCCAATGGTTTTCGACGACCAGGCCGGAATTTGAAGATGGTCGAGCAGAAGTGCAGCGGTAGTCCACAATCGGGTGGTAGTCTCATTAGCCGAGTGGAAGTCTGGTGGTGGTCAGCGGCCGGGTGGAAGTCCGGCAGCTGTCGATGTCTTGGTGGTGGTTCGATGATGGTCGTGCAAAAGTCCAGCAACATTTGGTGGAGGTTTGTCAGTGGTGGTGTTTGAGCTCTTGAATCCTCAGGGCTTTCTCCGTTAAAGGTCAGTGCTCCAAGTCCCCCTCTCATGCAAAAAGTGTGGATCTATTTATTGATTTTTTAGAGTGACATACTTCATAAATATGGAGAAAATTAGGGGCAGATTTGAAGTGCTCAATTGGACGACCCATATTGATCACTTGGATCATAAAGTGTTTGTCAAGCATTTATGTGCCCAAATGTTTTCATAATTAAGTGATATTGGACTCATTGAATTCTTCTTGTGGAGCCGCTCGATTACACTATAAGCATGTTATATTTGGATACCACTTGCAATTTATGCTTTAAACCTTCCAAATAGCTTTAGCCCTTGATTTGGACCCATTTGGGTTTAGATTGGACCAATTTTGGTGTCATTGGGTTCGTCTCTTCGACACATTCAATTTGACCATAAGTTTGTTGAAATTGGAGTTTAGAAGGTTCTGAATTTAATTTTGGAAGTTTCTAACTTAAATTGCCTCGAGATTCGTGCACGATCAAGATAAATTTTTGTGTCATATCATAAAAGAGAAAAATCATGTGATATAATCTAGTTGAAATGATTCCACTAGTGTTTGTCATCTATTATAAATGACTCATTTTCCTATATTTGAGAAATGTATTGATAAAATATATTAGACATGAAATATATAGAAAATGATGGTTGAGATATTATAGTTGAGAGATGGTGGTTAGAGGATCGTAGTAAAATAATGATGATCAACGATGGTGATCAGGAGACGTTTTATCAAATGATTGTGATTGATGGATCATAATTAGGAGATGATGTTCAGAAGAGCATAGTTAGATGATAATGATTGGAGGATTATAAGAGGACAATAGTCGTCGTAGGATAATTGTTGGCCAATTGAGGTCCGAAGACCTTAGTAGTTTGATGGAGGCTAAAAGATTGTAGTTAGACGATAGAGTTTAGATATTAATATTTGGGCAAAGGTAATCGAAAAATCAAAATTGAGCAACGATTGTAAGAGGATCATAAATCATAATTAGTTCATGTCAGTCAAAGGACTGTAGTCAAATGACAATGGTTGAAAAACCATAGTTAAGTGACAGTGATTAAGTGGTTGTAGTTTGATGGTGATGTTCATATAGCGGTGATTGGGTAGAGCTCAAAAAATCTTCAAATCTCAAAGCTCTTTGGAGTCTCAAGCCAAGGTCCAAGCCATCTTTCATATAAAGAGTTTGTGTATAATTATAGATTTTTGAGTGTAGCATGCCCCATAAATATAATCAAAATTAAGAAAACTCCATCAGACTTCTTGTATTAATTCTCTTGATCTAGACCATTCTTTTAGCATTTAAGTGTCTTAATAATGTTGCAATTAGATAACAGTAGGCTTGTTGGATTTGACGCATTAAGACACTCAAATTGACTTTAAGCGAATGAGATTACGATATTCGTTGATCCTCAAATTAGCGTGCAAAAGTTTCTAGTGTGCTTGAAGTGCTTGGACCCGGATCATACCATTTTTGGTGTTCTTGGTTTTATCTCATCAAGACATTCAATTTGATCTAAAATTGGAGTTCATATGAATTTATTTAATTATTTTATTCAAATATATATCGAGATTTGTACCCGATCAAGTTGAACAATTATTAATAACAAAAAAGAATAATTA